ATACCTTTTCCCTGTCGACCCGAACTTCCCGAAATGGTGGTTTTGCTTCAAGAAATGAGGCAGAAGAATAGAGCATGTTGATAGTATCCAAAATATGAATCCCATTATACTAAGATTTTTTAGTATTTCCTAAAGGTACTATCCTAGCGTTATCTTATGCCCAAAACAGCCCTATGAGGCCGGCATTGGATTCCTCCACTCTGATTATGGCTGCCAAAAGTAAAGCAAAGAGGGCTTTAATGATCGTCCCAACACTAGTAAGTGACGGAGTCAGACATAGACCCAGCTTCCTCACTCTAGATGCTACACCCTACCTGCTGCAGCCGCACCCCCCCCCAAAAAAAAAGCTGGTGATGGACTGTGAAGCCTTATTTAATACCAGATCATATGCAGTCAGTCCCGACTATTTGTGGATTCTGTGTTTGTGAATTTGCATAGTTACTAAAACATAATCGTAACCTCCAAATCAATAGCCTTTATGTCATGGTCGTTTGTGGACACGTGCAGAGCGGCGAGAATTTCTGAGCCATCCAACGTGCGTGGGCCAAGCTGAGGTTAAACGGGCAGCACTGTGCCCCCTTGGGTCAGCTCTCACACTGTGAATGAGCGTCACTTTTGTGACCTATTTCATGCCGCATTTTCCACATTTTGGTGCTTGTTTATGGATGATTTCATTACTTAACGTGGCCCCCCAAGTATCGTGCATAAGAACTGTCTGTTGTTCCTCGGTCGCAGGAAGGCTGTGATGTGCCTTGCTTGTGTCAGATAAACTTCACTTAGGCATGACTTCCAGTGCTGCTGGCCTTCAGTTGAATGTTAATGAATCAACAAAGTATATTGAATCAGGTGTCTTCAAACAGAAACACGTGCATTGGTGACAAAATTGACCAGAGAGACGCAGAATCCTAATCCTGTGTTTTCCCTCAGAGCAAGGGATCCAGCGTTGTTAGTTCCATGTCTGCGGTGACTTGATGGAACATAACTGCTGTGAGTAACAAGAAGGACTGCATTTGAGTCTCTGTTATCTCATTGCCCGTAATCACTCAGTTCATTAATTGGCCAGGCATTTAAAACTGTACTTATCAAAGGGCATACATGCTCAGTGGGGGGCAATATTACCCTCGAAGGGACAAAAACTGAGGGCAAAAACTCTTACGCTTTTTATGTAAAAAGTAGAGCTATACACACTGCACATGATATAATACACAGTATATCTGTGGCATTACAGTTTTATTTGTGAGAGTGATTACAGAAAAATATCTACAGAGTTTCTTTGGGGAGAGGGCAATAACAAAATCTTATGGAAAAACAAAACCGTAAGGCACAATGAAAATATGATGATGTGCCTAATGTGTTTACTGGAGTACACAACACAGCGTGCACTCTCTGTGTTAGCTACTGTTACACATGTTGCTGATAATATTACTTGTTTCCTCCATCTCTTCTTTCTCCACTTACCAGCATTTCTTAAAGTGGAGTTTGTAGTCCTTTGAAGGGTATGCATACAGGTTCTCAGAGCTGTCTGAGAATGTCTTCTGAAATTTGTTATTTTGTGATTTCCTTTTTTTTTTTCCCAATCCTTACCCAAGGTCATTTTTTGTTGCTTTCTTAGAAAGGTGGAAGGGAGAAAGAGAAACATTGATTTGAGAGAGAAGCATGATTGGTTGCCTCCAGGATGAATGTGCCCAGACAGGGGATCATATGCACTCAGACTGGGAATCAAACCCACAACCTTTCAGTTATGAGATGACAGTCTAACCAACTGAGCCACATCAGCCAGAGCTGTGCTTTCTTTCTGAGGATAATCTTAAAAAATAATAAGTGATTGTGTACTAGTTCTACTGGTTCCCCTTTATAACAGAGTCTTGCCACATGGTTTTCTTTTTAACTCTCATCTGAGGCTATTTATTGATTTTAAAGAGAGTAAGTGGGATGGAAAGAGAGAGAGAAACATTGATATGAAAGAAAGACATCAATCGGCTAGGGATTGAACCCACAACCTGGGTATGTGCTCTTACTGGCGGTTGAACCTGCAACTTTTTGGTGTTTGGGACGACGTTCCAACCAACTGAGCCACCTGGGCAGGTCCTGACATACAGTTTTGTTTTCTGAGGAAGGAGCTGTGCTTCAGTGGTTGGGACAATGAGCAGTAAGAGGAGAGCAGACAATAAAACGTGAATGACGCAGTCAGACCAAGTGAAGGTCAGCTGATAGGGCATGCTGTAGCAGGCAGGGCCGTCTGGGTTCTAGAGGAGGAATGCGGTGGGCAGGCTGAGTCCTCATACAGCCCGAGGTAGCACAGACATGTCAGAAGTCAGAGAACACAGGCTTTAGCAGCTAGTACTGTATTTACATTTTGAAAGGCATTTTAATGTCAGCAAAATAACATCATCTGCCACATGAAATTAATGGTGCTAATTGGAATTTTAATGGGTTTTATTGTTTTGTGTATAATTGGTTATTTTGTTTTGGTCTTGTTGAGTCACAGCTAATACATACGGAGTTTATTTCTAGTTTTCATTTGTGCATTGCTAATTAACAATATACTAAAAATAGTTTAAGTCTGTGTATTCGTGGTACACAATAACACTTTTCTTCCAAATTAAAAGGAATGTTTGCAGGTTTGTAGAGTTCTGTAACGGACTCATAGAATCATAAACTATTTGACCTGCTATATACGATTTAGTCCATCCATCTCCCCTATCAGAGGGGGACACTGTCCAAGGTCAAAAAGCAAGGGAGCAGCAGACTGAGGTCAGAGATGAGTTTGACATATTTCTAGCTAGGTACCCAGTCCAACATATCAACACTCTCCAAAGGTGAACCATGCCAGGTAAGTGAGGGCTGCAGAAGCAGGCTAAGCACAAACTAAATGGAGTTTCTGTACCGTATTGGCTAACTGTGCGGAAGGAGGATGAGAAATGGGCAGGGATGATGGGAGTGCAGCCTTGTTTCAGAATCATAAATCACAATGAGCTTCCCTGTCTAGATGATGTCACTTATGAACTTGGATTATTCCATTACTGTCAACATTAGCGAACAAATCCCTGAAACTCTTTAAATCTCCCATTTGTGCTTTTCTACTCTGTTTTCAGACTGTAATCTCATGCCCCCTAACTGGGGTGTTTACCACTGTGTAGGGAAGACTATTGAAAAACAGTGTTTCTCAGCTGCATGTAAGAGTGTTCGTCATTACTTGTGGAACAGAAAGAGTCCATTTGTGATATAACTGGTTAGTCATTATATTCGTTTCATTATATTAGTTTCCTATTGCCACATAACAAATTCCCACCAATTTAGCAGGAGCTTACCATGAGATGCATTCATGAGTTCATTTTTCTTGGGTCAGAACTCTGGGCTGGACGTTTGTTCAGGGTCTTACAAAGCTGAGGTCAAGGCACTGGTGAGGCCTGGGCTTCCATCAGGGGCTCGAGGCCTCTTCCGTGCATGCGTGGGCATTGCAGAATTCATTGCCTTGCAGCTGTAGAAGTCATGATAACTTGCTTCTTCGAGACCAGCAGGAAGTCTTTCTTCTAGATCCCTGTAATGGCTTATCTACTTGGGTCAGACTCACCAAGAATAATTTCCCCTTTGACTAAATTCTGCTCATTAGGAAATTTAATTGCATCTGCAAAATCCTCTTACCATCATCATATTCTATAGCTTTAGTGGCAAGTGGCAGATTCTGCCCATAATCAAGAGGAGCAGATTACCGAGGGCACGGGCACTGTCTTAGCCCTGCTGGGCTACTACAACAAAATACCATATAGACTAGTGGTTTATCACAACAGGAGTTTGATCCTCACATTTCCGGAGGCTGAAAGGTTTGAGATCAAAGTGTCTGTGAGAGCCTGCTTGCTGATTCACAGACCGCCATCGTTTCCCCGTTTCCTCACATGGGCAGGGAGCTCTCTGGCGGCTCTCTTCTGCAGCCCCATTCACGAGGCTGCCACAGCCCTGAACCAGTCACCTCCCAAAGGCTAGTCACCTCCTGATGCTGTCTCTTGGGTGATTAGGTTTTAAACATGAATTTTGGGGGGCATGAACATTTAGTCTGTAGCAGGTACCATGGGAGTCATCTTAGAATTCTGCCCACCACCGTCCTTATTGGCACCTTCCTTACTAGGCACTGCGTGTGGTTCATATTGGTAGACTTGCCGGTGACATTTCGAGAATGTTTAGAGTCATTCTATATGTTCTTGTCAAAAGTCAGAAGGTCAGAAGAGTGGAAACTGAGCTGTCAGCTCAGGTAAGATTATTTAGACTAGGGGTTCTTAACCTTGGCACTATTGATGTTTTGGGCTGGATCATTCTTGATTGGCGGGGTAGCTGTCCTGTGTATTTTAAGATGTTTAAGCAGCATCTCTGCCTCAACCCACTAGTGCCAGGAGAGTACCCTCTCCAGTTGTGACAACGAAAAATCATACCAGACATTGCAAAATGTCCCCTGGCATGGAGAAGCACCCCCAGAATTACTGCATTAAAAAATGAAGCTTTTTTTTTCTTTTCTAAAGAAGAACCTATTAAAACAAGGTATTTGATTTTTTTTTTAAGGTGAGGCAGTTTTTTGGAGCCAGTAGGCTCTTCCTTCTTGGGTAATACCTCATTCTTAGATTTGCATTTGTCATTTACTGGAAGATGTATAGTTTATAGCTGCAAATAAAAAATTAATGCTATAGATGTGTTTCACACATGCACTTTCTTAGTCACATGTACATCAAAATTAGATTACATTATCGTATTTGACTGTGTTTTGTAATCTTGTCTGAGTTTATAGTCCAGTGAGATGGTAATAGGGCTTTAGTTCTGCTCTGACATGGCTCAGGAATTTCCCCAAAGATACTGAATACATAAGGCAAGAAGCCTAATAAACTCCTTTCTTGGTATTATGGCTCCTTTCTTGGAAACAAGCAATGCGGCTTGGTACGGGACAGAGTGAAAGTCACGGTTAGTTCTGAAATTATAAAACTCAAAAGCTGCTCATTCCTGTTTTTTTCTAGGCAAAGGCAGCTCAAGCATCTCATCCGACGTGAGTTCAAGTACAGATCACACACCCACCCAAGCCCAGAAGAATGTGGCTACCAGTGAAGGTAGGCATCTGGTCTTCATTATCTCGTGCCCTCTCTTCCCAGTGCTGGCTATTTTTGGAAGACAAATAAAATGTGTGAGTCTGAGTTCTGTTGTGCTGAGTGGGAGCATATGAATGTCTTAAAAATGAGAAGGCAAACGTTTTCCCAAGTTTCTTTTTCTGTTGTGCTGTGTCACTGCCGACTATGGTTGTTTCCGTGGGGTTGAAGCGTCTTGATTCTAAGGCACATGCTGTGATTTGTCACACTACAGTAGGCTGACTTCGGAGAACCCTTTATGATACCACCTCTCTCTTTTTTTTGGTATAGAAAAAAATCCTTGTGCTAAAGTTGAAGGCTGTGCAAGAACTTTCAGAATAAGCACCCTGGAATTCAGGATTGTGACAATGGCCAGGTCGTCGTCATGTGATTTGTAGAGCTTGAACTAATCACCAATGTTTGAGAGTAAGAAGGAGGTTCATTTGACTATTTACAGAAAAACTGAAAAGTTCTGCCCATCAGGTTGGGGACTGGCCACACTGGTGTTCTTGATGAAGATCTGACTGTATGTAGTCCATGTTGTAATTCCATTGCTTCCCAATAAATAGTTGAGAAGCTTTTGAATAATTGCCTGCTTGTTTGAGTGTGGAAATAATTGTTTCTGTGTTAGTTATTTAGTGGAAAGTTGACCCCAGCATAGAATCAGCTCCTTTTATTTTAATGTTAAACACAATTAAATGACTTCATTTCTGGAGAGTACTTTTAAACTAAGTGTTGAATGAAGGTCCAGTGTTAAGACATTACTGCCGTTTAGAATGAAAGACTGTTTGGGAGATGTCACCTGATTTTTGTGACATCGTGTAAAGCCTGCTTTCCTAAAGAGTACAGTATGTTGTGGAAGCACATTTCCAGTCTTTGTTTCGGAGCCTGAATTTCTGCTGTTTGGGATACGGGGAAGCATGTTCATGGCCTGAAGCCGGCCATCTCAGCTGTTTGACTACTCTTGCTCTGCATCAATTTGTGCGTTAATAATGATGGTGCTCTTCTGCTGTGTTTGTCTTCTCTTGGGTGTTCTTTGACTGCGTGTGTTTCAAGTAGCACTGGTTCCCTTCCTTGGGTAAATTACCCCCAGACTGATGCATAAATAGCTTTTGTAACTGGATTATAGCCTCTTGTGTTGAATGCCTTAGCGTTGTTTTGCTCACATTGTAAAGCAAGCAGATGAGGGTGTTGTCCTTTGTGCAGTGAAGCACCAGGTAGCAATCCAATTTTAATTTTCTGCCTGTTCTTTCAAATGTGGGCATTAGATCATTCTCAAAATTCAGTTAAGGTAATGTGCAAATCAGGTAAATTGATTCTAAACATTCACCTTTGAGGTTTTCATTCTTTGAAGCCAGAGAGGAAATCTATTTAATGTGTTTACGGGCCTCTGCACTCTGAAAGGTATGTTTTGTAAGATTATTACTTTTTTCCACCATTGTTTTACAGTCACTTGTGTCATAGTCCTTTGTCTAATTTGAGTGGCTGTGAAAATAGAAAGTTAAAAGTGCATAAAAGATCCCCTCTGTGCTTCCCTATCCTGATTTAAGTTCTCTTAATGTTTCATTCTGCTTTCCAAAAAGAGAAAATACAAAAGTGTGTGTGCTGTGTCGAAAGGGTTAGGGGAAGGGACTGTGGGACTTAATGCATTTACAAAGTCTTCTTTTTATGTTTCAAAAAATACACTATAGCAATGTAAAATTGTTATTTTATTTTGCTTTTCCTTCAAACGATTTCTTTGGTGCAGGCCCAGCCAACGAGCTGTACATTTCTGTCACAACGCATTCTCTGTTGTGCTGTGGGTGAGACCAGGAGAGAAAAGTGGGAAAATGTCGTGTTCCTGTGAAACAGGATTTTTAGCGACTGGGCTAAGTTATTATGAAATTTTTTTACAGTTTTTAAGTCGAAAAACCCTATCCCTGTGAAAGATGCTCTTCATATTTTTGCATATCTGAAAACCTATAAAAGAAAGTATTGTTTTTTTCTATTTGCATGAATTGTTGTTTACTGTTGTTAATCAGTGAAAAGTTAAAACTGTTAATAATAAATGTGGGGTGGGTATTAGTTACATTAAGATGTGTTTCGGGGATGCTTGCTGCGTAGTTGGGCTGAGAAGCCTGGTCTCCCGCGATGGGAGCACAGCAGCGAAGGCTAACCGATGGTCTCAGCGCACAGGCGACAGAGCCCTGGTCCGCCGTGCGGATGAGCTATCAGGGCATCACATCCTCCGGCCTCTGCAGAGCACATTTCCTTGACGGCAGGCGCATTTCCTCCTACCGAAAAATATGTCTGTGTACAATGCTGGCAAAGAGACAGACGGTGTACTTTGATTTCTTACAGATGCTACAGAGGAGCAAACCTAAAAATGCTTCCCTGGTTCTCTCCCCGCTGTTTTCTAGAGCTATGTTTAACCTTTGATGTTAAGAAAATATTGAGTGAGCGGTGTACTTCTGGAAGCTGTTTAATTATGGTTATTTTCTTCAGTTCCTTGATCCTCTTTAGGATTTTCCACCTCTGCATGCATCAATATCGTCTGCAGGAGGCATGGGCGCACAGGCAGGATCCCCAGCTTTAAGGTCTGAGTGATATTGATTTCTAAGAATGGTATCATTGTGAAGGATGATATTGAATTTTCCTGCACCCATTGAAAATGGTGCCCATACATGTGATAGCTGGGTTGGAAGCATTGTGCAGCGGTGTGGGACTTCTCCCAGACTCCACAAGATAGCTGATGTCACAAGCTTTGTTTCTTACCAGGGAAGGTGTAGGTGACTGCTCTACGCAATATATGCCGGCACGTGAAATGAGGATGTGGGAGCTGAGGGAAAGGGGCAGCACTCACGTAGCCTTCGCTGAACCTGGGGCTGCTGGTAGGAATGGAGATTAACTGTAAACAGACATGAAGGATGTTATTAGGAAGGCGACAATATTCTAAAATTGGATTGTGGTGATAGTTGTCAACTCAGGAAGTTTCCTGAAAATCACTGAATTGTGTGCATGAAAAAGAGCATGGTGGGAGCTGCTGCTTCTGCAGGTCCTTCCATCTTGTACCCAAATCATCACAAACTGTCCTTTGCAAATGCTGCCCGCCCCTTGGGATGAGGTCATAAACAACAGCAAGATGACCTGTTAAGAGGGTGAGTACAAAGTGCAGGGCTGCCACTGAAAGCTTCTCTGAGATACTCTGACCTTGGAGCCAGAACTAGTCTGGTAGCCAGAGTAATGAGTCTTGGGATTAGTGTTTATAGCGCTGTGCATGGTACCTAGTCAGAGTTGACTTATCATAGTACATATCTGAAGATAAGAGAGATTATAGACCCACAGGTTCTCCAAACATTTTTTTTAGCTTTTCCTGGATAACAGGAAAAAAGTATTTTAGCACCCAGCCCTAATGGTTGAGGCATCCCATTCAATCACTCTAGCACAAAGTGGTCAAAGTCATTTTCAACAGGGGCCACATAAATATTGCAGTTGCCTTCAGAGTGCCAAATGTAATTTTAGGACTATATAAATGTAACTACTCCTTACAAGGAGCAAGGAACTTGGTGTTGCTGCAAGGTGCCAGGAGCTTGGTGTTGCTGCAAGGTGCCAGGCCAGGTAAAACAAGGTGGAGGGCCAGATTCAGCCCGCAGGCCTTGTATCTGCCACCTGTGCTCTAGCAAGTCTGTTTCTTTACTAAGGTCCTGTGTTCGTGCTGTTTATCCAATGTTTCAACTAATCTACTTGAGGTCATAAAGCTGTTTCCCTAGGCATGGTGGGCACAGATGGTGATACAATTTGTTTTTATTTTTATTTTTTAAAAGATTTTATTTGTACCTGGCTGGCATAGCTCAGTGGATTGAGCGCGGGCTACAAACCAAAGCATCGCAGGTTCGATTCCCAGTCAGGGCACACGCTTGGGTTCCAGGCCACAGCCCCCAGCAACCGCACATTGATATTTCTCTGTCTTTCTCCCTCCCTCCCTTTTTTTTAAAGATTTTATTTGTTTATTTTTAGAGAGAGGGGAAGGGAGGAGGAAAGAGAGGAAGAGAAACACCGATGTGTGGTTTCCTTTCACGTGACCACTACTGGGGACCTGGCTCGCAACTCTGGCATGTGCCCTGACTGGGAATCGAACCAGTGACTCTTTGGTTCACAGGCCAGCACTCAATCTACTGAGCCACAGCAGCCAAGGCACAATTTGGTTTCAATACAAGACAGAATGGCATCTTTGACCTAATAATAGTGTTTTGGTTCAAAGTCTCATACACAAATTCTGCATATCCTAATTTTGTGACTTTAAAGCCACACCCCTTTTTAAAGAATTGGTGGCCTGTAGTGCTTTGTCCCTAATAAGTGACACAGACTTTAATGCCCGTTATATTTCTTGTGACCATTTAAGTTCTTGGTATCCTGACACTATAGGGGGTATGGGTTCAAATGTAGAAAGCTGTAAACTTTCCATTTTTCCAGACAAAATCTACGTTCCAACATCTTAAGCCACAGCATAATTCTTTACAGTTGTGTTAGTATTGTTTTTCTTCCATTTTTTTCAGTCATATTCATCCACACAGTGTTCTCTTGTACTGGAAAGAATGGGCTTTGACCTTCAGCTCTGAAAGTCACATCCAGCCCATGGCTGGAACGGAGCACACAGCCGCCAGCCTTGGGCAGGAGCATCTGGGTTGGGTTACATCATGATGACTCTTCCCAGAGACAGCGAGCTGAGCCTGGACTCCTCTCACGGACGAGAGGGTGTGTGGATATGGCTTTAAGGGCAGCATCCCAGCAACTCAGTCCTCTCTCCAGCTGGAGGAAGGTGAAGCGGTTAGTTCAAAGACCAACTACAATTGCCTGATGAAAAGTCAGCTTCATCCAGTTGCTCTTTAGACATATTTAGGTTCAGATATTGAATTCATTGACCACATAGTTTATAGATGTGATGGCTGTGTATAAATGTTGGTTGTCAAGCAAGACACCCATAGAATCATAGGGTTTTTAGAGCT